CTCATTGAGCTCCCTTCTAGTATGTCCTCCTCACATGTTCAGTATGGTGAAAAAAATTAATGATGATTTTCCCACCTTTCGTTCACAGGGCTTCTTACTATTGTAAACCTTAAGATGGCTTTTAGTTCTGATGACTTTGCAAAGTCTTTTCCACAATTGTCACATTTATAGGGTTTCTTTCCAGTGTGACTCCTTATATGTGCATGTTTTGAGGCATGCTGAAAGGTTTCCCACATTCGTTATAGTCATAGGGCTTCTGCACAATGTTCTTTCTTTCTTTTTTTTTTAAGAGGTGTCATGTTGACTTTTTATTGAGGAGCACAGACTGAGACAAAATCATCTTCCAGTTAGGTGAGGTGTTGAGGATCATACTAAAGAGAAGACAGGAAAACGCCAGTAATGGTGAAGGCCTTGAGAAAAGGACAGGACCCACAGACAGTGAGAGATCAGGGTAGGCCCTGGACTTCTTCCCTCATTTCCTTTCCAAATGTCCCAAATGTGCAATGCATCACCTAAGACAAAGCAGAAAGCATCGAGCTCTCTGTTTATCTCAATTCAATGACAAGTAGGACTTTCTGTTTTTGAGATGCGGTCTCATTCTGCACCTGGGCTGGAGTGCAGTGGGGGCAGTCACAGCTCACTGCAGCCTCCAACTCTGTCTCAAGCAACCCTCCTACCTCCGTATCCTGAGTGGCTGGGACAGGCATGCACCACCACACCTGGCTATTTTTAAAAAGCTTTTTGTAGAGACAGGGTCTTGCTACATTGCCCAGGCTGGAGTGCAGAGGTGCGGTCATAGCTCACTGCAGGCTCCAACTCTTGGTCTCAAGCAATCCTCCTGCCCTCAGCCTCCCGAGTGGCTGAGACTACGGGCATACACCACATGTCTGGCTAATTTCTTAAACTTTTTGTGGAGACATTCTTGTTTTGTTGCCTAGGCTGGTCTCAGACTCCTGGCCTCAAGTGATCCTCCTGCCTTGGCCTCCCAAAGTGCTAGGATTATAGGTGTGAGCTCTCATGCCCGGCCAACAACCAGAACTTTCCATGGACCTTGTGCTTTTGGACCTTGGGTATTTTCTACAGGTCAAGCCATCCTGACCACTCTGAGAACCTACCCAGGGTTACTCAGCTGTAACTTCAGGTCACTCATAAGCCCACTGGGTAGCTCCACCCGTGGACAGCTGGATTCATTTGTGTCTGTTCTCTGAAGTCATGGATAATCTGACAGAAGGGAAAGGAAACGGAACCTCCACTTCTCTGGGCAAGTCGGAAAAGGGCTAGGCGAGGGCGGGATTCCTTCTCGCTGGCGGTAGCACAAGGAGCCGGGCCTACTCCTTCAGCTAGGAGACCTCATACAGGTACACGGCCAGCATCTTGGTTCCCTCTACGTAGTTAACGCCTGTTGAGCTTCTCATTCTGGGATTGGGCTCCGTCATCTGCCGACCCCACAGGCAGCAGCATGACGTTCTTGCCTGTGGCCTCCTGGAAGGTCAAGGTCACGGGAATACTGCCGCCTTCCCTGGTCAAGTCTGGCTCAACACCAAAAACTGTTTTCAGGGCTCTTTTCCCAGCCATGTAATGAGGGTGACTGAAGTCGGAGACCCACGGCTTCCCACCTTGAACTTGTTGGGGCCGTGGAGTTCAGCAAACTTCTGAGTTAGATAGCTTGTGACCTGCTCGCTGACGACTTCGGGAGTCATGTTCAGCACGAGCCTGATGGAGAACTTGCCGACCGCCTTCCTGGGAATCACAGTCTTGGCCCCCGACCCAGAGAAGGCGCCTTCAATGCCATGGAGGGAGAGAGAGGGGTACCGCCATCGGCGCATGAGGATGTCTTTCTTGCAGCAGTGCAGGAGGGTGTGCGCCCGCACGTCCCTGGCATACTCCTCCCTGTCAAAGTCAATGTCCTCGTACAGCTTGTGCTCCTCTTCCGTCACAGCAGCCACAGCCTCGTTAATTCGGGGATCAGGATGTTCCTCCTCTTGTCCACTAAAGAGCCCATCAGCAAAACGAGAGCAGCCATGGCCTCATGCACCGAGTCCCTGTACACCCGGAATGCAGGTCTCTGCTGCTGCACGCCACCTCGATGAAGAAGCAGCAGGTGCCCCTGAGGCCGGAGGCGATGCAGGGCTGCTTCTTCCCCAGCCAGTAGTTGTCAGAGATGCCGACACAGTCCACGGCCTTAAAGAAGCTGTCTTTCTGGGCGAAAATCAGCTCGCCTAGGCCCTCAGAGCCTGACTCCTCCATGCCGTCGGGGCAGAACCGGGCGTTGACAGGAATCTCCCGGTCTGTTTTCTCTTACACTCCCAGGCCATTCGCCCACCCGGCCACCGG